GGCCTCACACCTGAAGTGCCCAGATCCCACCCAGTTGGACAGAATCCTCTCTCCCCACCTATATCGGAACCTGCATAGATTCCCAGGGCAGGCCATCCTTTCTTCACTGGCCCTTTCCTGATTTATTGCGCACCACAGGAAGGTATGTCCCTGTAGTGGCTTCTTGACAGAAATGAGGGCCCAGGGCTTCTGTACTCTATGCGGAATTCTGTTGGGGTTCAAGGTCCTGACCTACCAGAGGCCAGTGGGACTCAGCAATTCTTTTATTTTTATTTATGTATTTATTATTACAATTTTTTAAATTAAGGTATTATTGATATACACTCTTGTGAAGGTTTCACATGAAAAACAATGTAGTTACTACATTCACCCATATTATCACGTCCCCCCCACACCCCATTGCACTTCTTTTATTGTGAGCTCCTCTCTCCTCACAAGGGATTTTTCTGGTTGTAAGTGGCATAAACCCAATTCAAACCAGCTTACAAAAAGATTTATCGACTCACCTAACTGAAAAGTGCAACACACAGACATGCCTTCAAGCCAGCAGGATCAATAACTCAAATGTGATTCCCTCTGCCTCTCCCTTAGGTTGGTTTTATTCTCAGGCCACCTCACTGATGGCCACTCAAGCTCCAGGCCTATGTCCCACAAGCTTAGCATCCCCAGTAGAAAGAGAATGTTTTGCTTATCTATTGCCATATAATGAACCAACCCAAACTTAGTGGCTTAAAACACAAATGATTTCATTTCTCATGAATTTGCGGATTTAGAGTTTGGGCAGGGCTCAGTGTGGATTCTCTGTGGGGTGTCAGGTGGGTGCAGGACTGGGGCTGGAGGATCTGTGGCAGCCTTGTTCATGTGTCCGAAGACCTCAGCCCTGGCTGGCGGCTGGGGCGTCCTGGTTCTCCAAGTGGCATCTCTTTCCACATGGCCTCTCATCATGCAGTAGTCTAACCCACACTTTTGTACATGGTGGTCAACTTCTAAGAAGACAAAGTGGAAGCTGCCTCTTAAGCTCCTCTTAAGGCCTAAACAGCACAGTGCCACTTCCTCCACATTCTCTTAATCAAAGCAAGTCACAGCGCCAGCCCAAACTGAACTGGAGGGAAACAGATTCTTCCTCTTAGTGGGAAGAGTAGCGAAGTCATATTGTAAAAAGACATTCGAGATGGGAAGGATTGTTGTAGCCATCTTTAGAAACAGTCTGCCAGAGGGAGTGGAGTCTTTTTTCCAGTAATTTCAAAACAGAAGTCCTGTGCACATTATGCTCTGGCCCTGCTTGTGGCACATGCCTACCCCTGGGCTGATCTCAGTAGCTGGGAAAGAGAGGATGTATTGACTGGCTGCTTCTGGGCCATGTATTTCCCCAGAATGGGCCATGTGGACTGGAATGGAGGAGCAGTTCCCCAAAGGAAAACCAGGTACCAGAAGAGGGCGGAATGAGTGTGGAACCGTTTAAAACTACTGCTGTCCGCTTACACCCACCCCTGCTCACATACCTCCAGAGCCTAGTCTGTCCTGTTGGGTTGCTCGTGGTGTGGCCTCTTCTTGTTCCTCCAGCCTCATATCCCTCTCTCCAGTTTGGCTAAGCTTCCCTTTCACAGTTCTCCAGATGGGCCTACTTTTCTTTCACTGTGCTTCCATGATCTCCCCAAATGGTCACCCATGTCTGGCCTCTTGGCCTGGCCAAATCCTACCTGCTTTTCAAGGAACAGTCTGTCTCCACCATAAAACTGTTCCCCAAACCAGGTGAATGACATAAGGAAGGCTGAAGGAGGTTTAAGACTGCCTGATGTGGAGACAAAGAGATGAGAAATAAAGACCTGAGGATTCCTCCATCCTTCCAGCAAAGAATCTTCAAGCATGCTGAAAACCAATCACATTGAAACTCATAGGGTTACTTCATTTGTTAATCATAGTTCAATTGCAAGTGTTTTGTTTTGCACAAAGATGTTCACTATAGCATTTTGTAATGGCAAAACCGGAAGCTACCCAAATGTCCTGCGCTAATGAACGAATTGTAATGATCAAGATCCTTTCAGCAGTAAGGGACAGAAACTCAGCTCAAACTAGCTTAAGCGCAAAAGGGAATTCGTGGCTCCCGAAACTGGGCATCCAAGAGGCTCAAGAGACATCAGGTGCCTTCCATCTCTTGGCTCAGCTTCCCTTAGGTAAATGGGGCTCATTTTCTGACTATTGACTAGTTTCCTCCATTGTAGAGGAGGGGAGGCCAAGTCTGATTGTTCCAGAGTTATATTGTTCCTGCTTTGTGATTTTGGAGGGAAAAGAAAGCAGCTCTTTCTCAGAGGCGCAGGGAAGGAGGCTGTCCTGGCTTGCGTTACTTGAGTATTCCTGGGCCAGTCTCCATAGCCAGAGGACTGGGATACTGTGATTGACCAAACTGGGCTCACACAGCCAGGAGGAGGTTATTGTGGTTGGCTGTCCCACTGGAACCATGTGGAGCGGGGTAAAGGGATGGAGGCTTTCCTGGAAGATGGCAAAGTCTGGTTGATACAGTATTACATTCCAGGAAAAGGTATAGTTACAAAGACCATGTAGCAACACGACCAATAGTTATCAAGCAATGCTAAGAGGAGGAGGCAGAATAGAGACTTGGCACCTTAGAAATATGGAAAAATAGAAACCGTTTGTTTCGTGGGGGTGGCAGGAGAGCATGTTCTGACATTAAAAACCTTCACTGCCTTTGCTGTTGTACAGTAAAATATTTTTGTACAAAAATAATAAATATTTGTACAATAAAATATGTTTGTGCAAAAATAATCTGTTATACATTGGTAAGATTTGCAGAGCTCAGTTTATTTTTGGAATGAGAAGGGGCACCAAAGATGGTGGTTTTTATAGCTCTGAAAAGTCATGGTTTTCATCTTGTGCTCGCTTTGAGCAGTGGACCCAAGGTAGCCTCTTTGTCAGGGGTGTATAACATTCTCAGCCTAACTGCAGAGAGCTTCAGTTTCCCAAAACATGCCACCCTGCCTTTGGCAGTGGGGGAGGTCTTTCCCCAACAGACAAGCAGCTGAAATGCCTGCAGTGGGTCTGCCTGTCAGGGGTAGAGAGAGGCATAGGAAACAGACTCCAACCAGTCAGGGAGGACAGATAGTGGTCCAGGGGTGGCCTGATCTGCCCCATCCCTCTTCTGCCCACTTCCCTACTCACACCTGGGATGGTTCATGCAGGACCAAGTGCCATTCATATTTGCAGCTAGTAACCAGCACTTTTGGGTTAGTTATCTTTGTTTTTATTATAAGGAACAAAACTAATAAGATATTCACATTTCAGTAAAAACAAAACAAAACAGAAAACCCTGATTTGTTTGTCTACACATGTGTATCTTATAGGGTCTCTGAGGCATTGTTGGAGAGATTTCCTCTCCCTGAAAGCCCCAAAGTATCTAGAGGTGAGGACAGGGAGCCTTTATGCCTGGTCCTGGCATGGGTGTGTGTGTGTGTGTGTGTGTGTGTGTGTGTGTGTGTGTGTGTGTGTGTGTGTGTGTGTGTGTGTGATGGGAAACTGGTTGGATCAACAGAATTATGGAAGCGACCTGTAGGGAAGGAGAGTCAGGGGAGTGGTGGGCCATGGGGAGGATTCAGTTCAATTTGGTTCAATTCATCAAATATTAAGCACCTAGTATATGCCTAGCCCTGTTTCAGAGCTTTAGGATATATCAGTGAACAAAACAGATAAAGATCTTGCCTCCAGGAAGCTTACTTGCTAATGTGGAAAGATAATTAACTATAAACATAAGATGTCAATTTAATAGTTAGCTATTTGGTCAACAGAATTATGGAAGCGACCTGTAGGGAAGGAGAGTCAGGGGAGTGGTGGGCCATGGGGAGGATTCAGTTCAATTTGGTTCAATTCATCAAATATTAAGCACCTAGTATATGCCTAGCCCTGTTTCAGAGCTTTAGGATATATCAGTGAACAAAACAGATAAAGATCTTGCCTCCAGGAAGCTTACTTGCTAATGTGGAAAGATAATTAACTATAAACATAAGATGTCAATTTAATAGTTAGCTATTTGGTAATCTATGAGGAATGATTGCTGTGGGAAGAAAGATTGGGACTGGTGTGATGTTGTGGGCTGCAATTTTAAAGAGTGGTGGGACAGGCCTCATTGAGAAGGTGAGCTTTCAGCAATGATTTAAAAGAGGTGAGTGAATCATCCATGGGGATATCTTGGGAAGGTTTCCAGGCAGAAGTCATGATCTGTGCAAAGACCCTGAGGCAGAGATATTCTTGAAGGCAGAGGTTGGGGAGGAGGGAGGTGCTGTAGTGCCTTGTTGGTCATTGTCAGGACTTGGTCATTTATTCTGAGGAAAAGGGTTAAAACATTTTTATTTCAGTTTTCTGTCTTTTCTTCCAGTGTCTTGTTTGGAATGTGTGTGTGTGTGTGTGTGTATGTGTGTGTGCGTGTGTGCAAAGGTCTAGAAAAAGGTAGGCACCTGAGTATGGGTAAAGACTCCCAGATTTCCTAACATCCCTTCCTCCCACTACCCTACTTCCCAGGCTGGGGTGTGGCTCGTTCCACCCCCTCAGTTGTGTTTATGACACACACCTCTAGCCCTGGGAACTCTGCTCCTCAACCAGAGCAAATTAGTGGTGAGTAGGACCCTTGCCCACCCCCTCAAGGGGCCCAACTCCCAGACAATTAACATCAAAGCCTCCCAGTGGGACGTGGAGAGTCAGGGGCTGGGACCGAGACAGACAGGGACTAAGAACAGTGAGCAGGCGGAGGTCCCACAAACATCACACCCACCTGAGAGGAGACAGCTCTCAGGGTCCTCCCCACATCCCCATCTCCCCACCCACTAGCCCCGCCCTGGCCCTTCTCTCCCTCCTCTGCAGACACACACACACACACACACACACACACGCACGCACGCGCGCACACACACGCACACGCAGGCCTGACACAATGGCTGGGTGGGGCTGAGGAACTGGCTTCCTCTGTGGAGATCTCAATCTGGGCCCTCAGTTCCTGCCCCCAAAACACAGGATCAGAGATACTGGGAGACCTGGCCTCATACTCCTTGCTCCAAGGGGTGGTCAGAACAGACTGAAAATAGGAACTGCATCCAAAAAGCTAAAGGTAAAATCAGGGGGCATTACTGCAGAATTAGGGAGAGGGAAACCTGGGTGGGGAGAGAGTCCCTTGGTGTGAAATAGTGGGCTGACTCACACCCAGAAGAACACGTTGGAAGCTAAAAAGACAGGCTATCCTGTGAGGTGTGGAAGAGATAGACGGGACGCGGAGGCATACACACCATCCCTTAGCTGATACAGATTTGTCTAGACACCAGTGCCCTACCGCCAGCGCAGCCCTGTGCCATTGCCACCCCATCCTCACCCCACTCCAGTCCATACACAGCCCCTGCAAGTCCCCTGTCCACACAGCGATGCCCGCACAACATACATACAGAAGAGCCCATTTCCACACCTGAGTTTCAGCCTCCGGAATATAAGATACAGGGTCCCTCACATCTTCCAGAGCCCCAGTTGGGCGCATGTGGAGTGTTATGTGGTTTGGCTGGAGGGTGGGAGGGGCGGGGGTGGTGTCCGGTTGGGAGCAGGATCTGATTCCTGTTTCCTGCCCCTACTCACTCAGCCTGGGAGGTGACTGAGAGTGGAGAGGACTCAAGGGTGAGTGTTTGTGGTGAGTCCCTGGGTCCCTGTGAGAGCCTTAGTGGGAGGTGGGAAAGGGAATAGCTGCAGGTACCTGATGCGGGGATGGCTCTCTGAGGGGGTCAAGGCTGGGGAGGAGCTGGCCATCCGGCAAGGCCACTGCCTGGGTCACCTTTCCTGCCAGGGCACAGAGGCTGCTGGGCAGCAGGATGCACAGCCTACAGCCCCCAGCCCCCACTTGCATCATTGCTCAGGATCCCCATCTGGGACCTGGCGGGGTCTGATCTAACTCTACTGCTGACTCCCAAAGGGAGTTTGGGCGCGTCTGCGTCTCTCAATTCTGACCCTTCTGCCTCCTCAGGATTGCAGCCTCCTTCCCTGAGGGAGGAAGTGAAGCCCATGCCCGGGTGTCATGGCCTCCTGATCCTCACCTTCATTCTGGTCTCCTGGCATCCTGGCAGGACCCAGGCTTCTACTAGGGCCCTTTTTGTGACCAGATGGTAGTCGGGGGTCAGGCAGGGCTGAGGATGGGGCAGGAGGGACCATGCCCTGGGCCTCTTGGTCTCTTGGGGTCAGAGGCTCCAGGAATCTTCATGGCAGGAAAAGGAGACTAAAAATACTCCGGAAAGGGAGAGTCCGGAGAGAGGAACTGGGAAATGGGGGGCGGAGGGCCTGCTGGAGCAGGGAAATAGTGATGCATCCCTCACAGCCCAGACGCACGCGTGGACAGACACACACACTGCACATGCGCCTCACACAGACAGCACATACCGCCTAGATACACCTCACACCCCCATCTCACACACCGCACACCTCACTCTGTTCTCCACTCTCCCTCTGCATACCTCCACATAACATATATACTCTGGAAACACCATACAATGCTCCGCTCATAAAGCACTAGAAATAGCACACACATGGCTCCATAACACACGTACAGACACAAAACACGTCCTTCATCAGGTAGATCTTAGTGGTCATACCAGCAGGCCATATTTCCCTTTCTGATGCAGGTCTCTTGCATACTGCCCCACCTCCCCCACCCCAACCTGGGTCTCTACCTAGGCACCTGTATCTCACCCTCTCTGTCTCTTTTGGCCTGATTGTGGCAGCAGAAGCCAGATGACTGAGAGAAATGGAGGCTGGGAGGGCCTAGACAGGCTGCCTGGAGGGCGTGGGGGGCCCCAGGGAATGGTCGGAGGAGGGGTGAGGTCAAGAGAAATTAGTGGAAATCAGAAGGAAGGAGAGGAAGTGCACCGGCCTTCCGTCGTGGTTCCAGAGTCAGGGCAGTCTACTCACAGGGTTGGGGCTCGCACTAAGGGTCTCTCTTTCTCCTTCCCACTCCCTCAGGGAATGACTCCAGCAGAGCATCCCACTCCTTTGAAGAGCTCAGAGGAAGATGTCGGCCCAGTCCCTCCCTGCAGCAACACCCCCTACCCTAAAGCCCCCTCGGATCATCCGCCCCCGCCCCCCTTCTCGTCCCCGAGCAGCCCAGTCCCCAGGGCCCCACCACAACGGCTCCTCTCCACAAGAATCTCCCCTCAGCTCCAACGATGCACCAACCCCCATGTGCACCCCTATCTTCTGGGAACCCCCAGCCTCATCTCTCAAGCCCCCTGCCCTTCTGCCCCCCCCAGCTTCTAAAGCCAGCGTTGACTCCCAGACTTTCCCAGATTCACCTTCTAGCACCCTCAGCCCAGGGTCCCGGCTCTCCATCTCTTCAGAACCTGCTCCCCGGTCCCCAGCACCCCCACCCAAACCCTCTGGGTCACCGTGCACACCTCTGCCCCTGCTACCCACGGCCCAGGTCCCAGCCCAGGATGGCTCTGCCTCGGCCCCAGGCACTGTACGGAGATTGGCTGGCAGGTTCGAGTGGGGGGCTGAAGGTAGGGTACAGGCTGCAGATGACCAGGAGCCCTGTTCCCAAGGGGACATGGATGTGGATGAGGAGAGAGAGACTTCCCAGGCCAATCTGGCTGGGAGTGGGTCCCAGGAGAACGGCACTCCAGGTGAACGGTGGGGGGAGGCTCAATCCAATGCTCAATGCTTTATGACTGGGTGCTTTTCAAAAGAGGATTTCATGTTTGGAAAACCTGGTTTCCATATTTCTGGGGTTTTGAAGAGCATCAGGGTGGAGGAGATAAATGCATGGGCTGGACCTCCATCTTTTCACTGCTGGGCAGGTTAAGGGGAGGGTTGAGGCCTGGGCACTGTGGGTACGGGCCCTAAAGGCCCTCTCCTTTGGACACCTCTGTCTCCCATAGATGCTGCCCTGGCCTGCCCTGCCTGCTGCCCCTGTGTGTGCCATGTAGCTCGGCCTGGCTTAGAGCTCCGATGGGTACCGGTGGGGGGCTACGAAGATGGCCCTAGGGCCCCCTGCCGGGCCTCCCCACTGCGGACCTCCCGCTCCCGGCCTGGCCCCCCAAGTGTCCGTCACCCCCCAGTTGTCCTGACATCCTATCGCTCCACTGCTGAGTGCAAACTCCTGCCTCCCCTAAAACCGCCCAAACCAACTCGGGTCAAGCAGGATGCCCTCAGCTCTGGGGACTCCCCACAGCCAGATCTCGATCTGCCCTCTGAAGATGGAATCCAAACAGGTACAGGGCCTGGGGGAGTGGACCTCCGGGCTGGAAAGGAAGGGGTGGAGGTGGAGTCTAAAAACCAATGAACTACAACCCCCAACGGCCCTGGGCTTTTTGTTCCTCCACTAGCTGCTGCTCTGGGACTGATGGGAGTTGTAACAGTCTCTGTGGGGCAAGAGTCAGGAGTCCTGGCCTGGGGAGCCTGGGGGTTTGTTCTCACTCTGAGTTTCCTCTTCAGGGGCCTGTCCTGATGAGGCTCCTCAGGATGCTCTTCCCGCAGCCATGGAGGGCAGGTACCAAACACCCCCACCCTCACTCCTACCCTAGGGCTGACTTAACCTTCAGGTCCAGCGAAATCTCACCTCCACAGATGTGGAGTGAAGGACTAGGACTCTAAAGAGAAGCATCCCTGGTTTCTGATCCCAGTTCTGTCCCTTATCAGCTGTAGGAACCTGTACAAGTCACTTAACCTTTTTGGGTCTTAACGTCCTCATCTGTGAAATGGGGGTAAATTTACCAACTGCAGTTGACCCTTGAACAACTCGGGGGTTAGGGGTGCCGTACCCCAGGTCAAAAATCTGCGTGTACTTTCAACTACACAAAAGTTAACTACTAATAGCTTACTGTTGACCGGAAGCCTTACCAATAACATGCACAGTTGATTAGCACCTATTTGTATGCCATATGTATTTTATATAAATACTGTATTCTTACAATAAAGTAAGCTAGAGCAAAGACATTTTTTTTTCAAATTGCCACATATCTCCAAAAAATTTTCCAGTATGTTTATTGGAAAAAAAGAAGCACATGTAAGTGGACCAGCACAGTTCAAACCCACATTATTCAAGGGTCAACTGTACTTTATAGATTTGTTATAATGTAATGTTAAAGAGTGGGTCCACAATAAATTCTCTGTTTTAGTTCCCCCATCTTGAGCCTTTGCTACAATTATTGTCTGAAAATCCATTTGAAAACCAAGACTATCTCTTCTGTGTTATCTGGGTTGGCTAGTCACTCTGGATTCATCACTGTTATCAGAGTTAATACAAGCCCATTCATTTATTTAACAAGCATTTACTGGTGTTTATTCTCCTGGAGTTTTGTAGCTTGGGTGAATGGGTGTGTGGTGGTGCTCATGACTGGAGCAGAGGGGGAGGTGTAAGAGTTCGGTTTGATCACACTGAGTTTCACTGAGGCACACATAGGACATTCCAGACAGTGGGTGCTACATGACAGACCTGGAGATAGAGGCGTGGAAGTCTCTGGGACAGTAATTGAGATCACAGGAATGGATGGGGCCCACTTAATACAGAGCTTCACATACAACAGGCTCATTAAAAACAGAACAACCAAACCACAACTCTAAGGTTGGCCAGGTCCCTGCACGCGGGCTGTGCACCTCTTATACTATGAACTTAACAGCAACCCCTGGAGGTGTGCAACAGTGGTCGCTCTCGGGGACTCCTTCCTTTTCTCTCCTTACAGGGAGGATGAGGGGCTGGAGGAGCTGAGGGAGCAGAACTGGGAGCTGCCCCTGCAGGATGGTGAGCGCTTCTGGACCTGGGGGTCCCTCCTGTGACCACCAAGCTGTGGGGAAGGGTTCTGGGGCACTGTACTTCACTGATGCACTACGTCTGCTCTCCAGAGCCCCTGTACCAGACATACCGAGCAGCTGTGCTGTCAGAGGAGCTGTGGGGGGTCAGTGAGGATGGGGTTCCTTCTCCAACTAATCCTGGAGAAGCTCCCACCTTTGCACGGCCCCCTGGACCCCGCAATACTCTGTGGCAGGAGCTTCCTGCTGTTCGAGCCAGTGGCCTCCTAGACACCCTCGGCCCCCAGGAGAGACGCATGCAGGAGGTGGGTGCAGCAGGGATCAGGCCGGGCAGGCGTAGGGGAAGAGCATGGGACCCGGGTCCTGGGCTGGCTGGGAGCTGGGCTTTCCACCACTGCCCTGTTATTCCTCCTCAGAGCCTGTTCGAGGTAGTGACATCGGAGGCCTCCTACCTGCGCTCTCTGCGCCTGCTGACTGACACCTTTGTGCAGAGCCAGGCTCTCCGGGACACACTCACCCCCCGGGATCACCACACCCTCTTCTCCAATGTGCAGCGAGTCCAGGGAGTCAGCGAACGGTCAGTGGGGTTCTGCCAGGCCTTGGGCTGCTGAGTATCCCTTAGCTTTCTGCCCATCCCGGGTCCTTCGTTAGTGCCCAGCTCTTCTCTGGCCCTCTGCTCCCTGTCCATTGCTTGTTTCCCCACATCTTCAGGTTTCTAGGGACGTTACTGTCCCGAGTGCGCTCTTCCCCCCACATCAGTGACCTGTGTGACGTGGTGCATGCCCATGCTGTGGGTCCCTTCTCAGTGTACGTGGACTACGTGCGGAACCAGCAGTATCAGGAGGAGACCTACAGCCGCCTTATGTGAGTGTACTGGAGGTGGGGCCACGTCACACGTGTTGGGGGGTGCTGGGGAGCAGGGTTGGTGTCCAGGGCAGGGCAGGCTGGGGTTTGGGCCTTGAAGTGGATGCCAGCCCAGCCACCTGGGCCTGCTTCTGCAGGGACACGAACATGCGCTTTTCCACCGAGTTGCGTCGGCTGCAGAGCCTCCCGAAGTGTGAGCGGCTTCCACTACCCTCCTTCCTGCTGCTGCCCTTTCAGCGCATCACTAGGCTCCGCATGCTGCTGCAGGTACTGTCCTGGTGTGGGGCTTTTCCTGCCCCACCAGCCTCATTGGAGAACTCTTCCCAGGGGCCTCTGCCGGGCCATCACCATTTCCCACTCTACGGCAAACACAGGCTTCCCCTAAATCAGGACTCCTGGGCCTTTCAAACCAGGACCCACCAAGTCCCACCTGGAGCCGCCCAAATGTCTCAAGGAGTAGTCTAGATGCAGGAAAAGAGCTCCTGCTTAGAATCCTGAGTTCTAGACTTAGCTCTGCCACTTACAGGCTGAGTGACCTTGGGCAAGTCCCTTCCTCTGTCTGGGTTTCTGGGGAATGTGGTGAGTGATCTCTGAGGTCTACTCTAGCTGCAGTCTTCCACTGCATGCCTTCCTGATGGGGATGATATCCCCCATTGCCAAAGAGGCAAGAATTGGTTCTTTTGGGGATGAAAAACCTTAGACATTCCAATGGTGGTTGTATACTCCAGTGGACCATGGTACATAAATAGACATAACATTTTCTATAGATAGAAATACATGGTATTAAAATTTCATGGTGGGGGGTACAATTAGGAAAAATATGCATAAAAGTGCTCCTTAATGGAGTGATACTGGGGACAAAAAGGTTAAGAAATACTCTACTGCAAAATAGAGATTTCTCCCTAAACCAGGTCACCCAGTGTGGGGATCTCAGTATGAAGAGTCCCAAGCTAGATTATCAGCTTCTTTATATCTTATTCAGCTTTATATATCCCCAGTGTAGACAACACAATAATCAGCCATAATAGCTAAACAGCTATTGAGTGCTCTGTTCTAGGTATGGTCCCAAGAGCTATATACCTGTTTGACCTTACCAACAACTGTATGAGGGTAGGAATGAGTGACCCCACTTTATAGATGGTGAAACTGAGGCACAGATAGGTTAAATAACTCACCCTAGATCATACAGATAATGATCGATAGACAAAATATAAATCCACGTATTCTTAACCACTCTTCTGTACTGTTGGCACCAGTAGTTGTGGTTAATGATGACCAAAATAACAGTGACCCTCTTTTCAGTATCTACTATGTGTCAAGCACTACGCTAAGTACTTTATGTACACTACTTCACCGAATCCTCACAACAATGTTATTTATTGGTCGCCCTTTTAAAGATGGGGAAAAATGCGGCTCAGAGAGGTAACACGACTTGCTCAGGGTTATGCAGGCGGTGAGTGGTGAGGTCTCTCAGTCTTGCTGAGGCTGGGCCTTCAGCCCTGTGTACCCCAAACTGAGCATTTTGTCAAGCCAGTCCTCTGAGCTGCTGTCCCTCAGAATCCCAGGGCCGCAGAGCAGGGGCCCCCATCACCCTTCCTCCTTGTCCCCAGAATATCCTGTGCCAGACCGAGGAAGGGTCCAGCCGTCAGGAGAATGCCCAGAGAGCCCTGGGTGCTGTCAGCAAGGTGGGCAGGAGGGACGCGGAGGCTGGGGTGGGGATGATGCGGTGTGGAGATGGAAGGGACCGAAGAGAGTAGGGTGGAGACTCAGCTCCGCCTCTCCCAGATCATTGAGCGGTGCAGCGCCGAGGTGGGGCGCATGAAGCAGACTGAGGAGCTGATCCGGCTCACCCAGAGGTTGCGCTTCCACAAAGTCAAGGTTAGTCCCTGCCCAGATTCCCCCTCTTCCCCTTCCCCATGGTGCTGCAACAAGCCAGAACCTCCTCCCTGCTTCCCCGCAGGCCCTGCCCCTGGTCTCCTGGTCGAGGCGCCTGGAGCTGCAGGGGGAGCTGACCGAGTTAGGATGCCGGAGGGGGGGCGTGCTCTTCACCTCCCGCCCCCGCTTCACTCCCCTCTGCCTGTTGCTCTTCAGTGACCTGCTGCTCATCACTCAGCCCAAGAGGTGGGTCTCAGGAGGGAGGGAGCCCAGGCTGGGGTGGCGAGGAGTTCAGCCAGATCCCTGCTCTGCCTCTGAACTTCCTCTTCCCTGGGCAGTGGGCAGCGGCTACAGGTTCTGGACTACGCCCATCGCTCCCTGGTCCAGGCCCAGCAGGTTCCAGACCCATCTGGGCCCCCGACATTCCGCCTCTCCCTTCTCAGCAACCACCAAGGCCGCCCCACCCACAGGCTACTCCAAGCTTCATCCCTGTGAGTTGCGTCTCTTTCAGAAAATACCCTTGGGATCCCTGCCTGTCCTCTCAGAGCCCCCCACATCCTTCTTCCCCAAATTCTCTCCTCCACAGCCCCTAATTTCTAGGAGGATCTCCTGGGCCAACTGTGACCCCTCCCCATATCCCCACCAGATCAGACATGCAGCGCTGGCTGGGAGCATTCCCTACCCCAGGCCCCCTGCCCTGCTCCTCAGACACCCTCTATGATGACTGTGGTGAGTATCCCCTAGAGATCAGGAGGGAGGGAAAAGTGAGTCTTAAGGGCAATATGGGGGAGAAGCTAAAAAGAGCCTTGATCCTGCTGTAATGTCACCCACCCGCAAACAGACTGTTCCCAGGAACTGTGCTCAGAGTCTTCTGTGCCAGTCAAGAGCGAGGGACGGAGTCTAGAGTCCAGGGCTCCCCCCAGGCACCTGCACAAGGGCCCTGAAGGTGAGAGATTCTACTCATTTATTCAATAGCTATTTATTAACCATCTATGAGGTGCTGCCAGCTATTCTAGGCATTTTGAACCAAACACTCATTCTTGCCCCAAAGGAGCATACATTCTAGTAGAGGAGAACAATAAAGAACAAAAAGGATAAATAAGTGAATTATACAGTGTGTCTGAAGGCCATTAGTGCTGTGGGAAAACACAAGTGGGGCAAAGTCAAGGAGATCAGGAGTCCCAGGTTTGGGTGCGGTTACAATTTAAAATAGGGTTGTTGAGGTCCGTGAGGAGGCACCATGTGAGCAGCGACTTGACTGAAGTGAGGAATTTACAAATTCGGTATCTGGGAGAACAGTGTCCCAGATGGAGGCAGGAGTCAGTGGCCAGGCCCTGCAGGCGGTGTGTTCGGGGACCAGGAAGGAGGCCAGTGTGGCCAGAGGAAGTGAGGAAAGGGGAGGGAAGAGATGAGGTCATAGAGGTAATGGGGACCAGATCACACAGGTCCTTGGAGGTCCCTGTAAGGACTCCACTGTCACTCTGAGTGAAACGAGCAGCCACTGCAGGGCTTGACAGAGGAGTGACTATGACCCTCTCTCCTGCTGCTATTGCCTCCCCTACTAATGGCCTTTCTACCAGTGCTCCAGGCTTCCCACTCATTCCTACACCCACCATAGCCCTCTGACATTACTCCCTATTGAGCCTTCTTTCCCTTGTAACCTGTCCTCTGCCCTAGCTGCACTTGGGACCCTGTCTCTCTTTCCCCAGGCTGGCTGAAGGGGCTTCCTGGGGCCTTCCCTGCCCAATTGGTGTGTGAAGTCACAGGGGAACACGAAAGGAGGAAGCACCTTCGCCAGCACCAGAGGCTCCTCGACGCTGTTGAGCCCTCTCCAGGCTCCCCCAGTGCCCCCCCACCCTAAAGCAGGTTGGGGGTAGGCACAGGTTTTGACATCTGGCACCAAGAGGACAAAGGCCATCCATCCTTTGGATTCGCTGTCAGTTGAAACGCTACCTCTAGTGGCAACCAATAGGGACCAAGCTTCAGGATAGGGCAGCCGGTGAAAACGGAGTCCTCCACGCCCACGCAGGAGGGAGAATGAGGTTGGCTTGAGTGGGTTGCCAATGGAAACAGAGGCTTAGTGCGGAACAGCCAGTGGATACTGAGCTGGCTGAGCCCTGGCCAGTGAGTATCCCTGCTGTGCTCATGTCAAGGAAGGGGAAACAAGGTAAACAAAGTTGCAAAAGGGCTGCATTGGAGATAAAGTCCTAGGATAGAATAGCCAACAATGATGAGCAGGGGCCCATCCAGCCAAAGAAGATGGTGATCTGGGCCTAGGAGACCAGCAGTGGCCTTGCTTGGTTCTATAGCAACCACCATCCTGCCCCTTGAGTCTAGGAAGTGTTAGATTCTATTCCTGGGGTGCCTCCTCTGCCCTCTCAAGCCACTTGCTTGCTTCTAGAAGAATCCAGTGTGTGTGTCTGAGAGAATCCGTGTGTGCGCATGTGCACATACATGTGCGTGAATGTGTGTGTCTGTGTACGCATCAGGGAAGGCGATTCTGCTGAACATGGTGTGTGTGTGTGGTCTTACCCCCTCCCCAGATGATTGAGTGCTCATTTCTCCCCACCCCCACTTCCCCCATATTTTTCCTGTTCTCTCCAAGAAAGACACTAGGTCTAAGCTCCAGAGGAGAATGTGGCTTGGCAGCCAGAGGCCAGAGCTGGGATGAGGAGCCTGGCTTCTGGGTCCTTTGGAGGCCAGTGTTCCATGATGGTTGGAGGGTGATGTTACGGAGCAGCCAAACAACCTGGCAGAGGAGCCAAAGGGACTGAAGATGGCCAATAACTAGGGGCTGAGACCCCCTGAAACCTGCAGGCCCTTCTGCTGCCCAAAGCTTGGCCTCTATAATCCCTGCCTACAGATCCTCCAACCTGAACTATAACCAGTCATCCAGCCTTAACCTTGGGCTTCAGACCTGCTCTGGGTCCCAGATTTGGGTGAGGAAACAGGAGCCGTGGATCACAGGCCAGCTGGTGAACCTTCTGGGCTTTCTTGTCTTCACCCTGGTCCTCTCGCTAAAACACTGGGTCAAGCAGTGGGGAGAGAAGAGAGCCAGTGCTGCTGCTCAACCCCATCTGGAGCATCTGTTTCCAGATGAGAAAATGCCCCCAAAGGAGAAGCCACGAAGCCAGAAGGAGGAGAGGGACGGAGACAGAGTGGAGGAGACAGCTGCTGGCAAGTGGCAGCCCAGGCCCAGCCCAGGCCTTCCCTGAGCTAGGCCATCACACCTTCTCTTCAGCTCATGGATGGCAACCTGCCCAGGACAGAAGCTGCCATGCTGACCACAGGAGATGCAAGGACCCTGGCAAGCTTCGGAGGGGGAAAGGCCCTGGCATTTGGTTCCAGAGTCTCCCTCCCTCTCCTGTGCGCCATGACTTTGGGGATTCACCAAGCACAGTGCCAGGCAAATGAGAAACCCTCAATAAATGTTGGTGGAGTTGATTGAGGCTCTGCAGGGCAGTGCGTGCTTAAAGGAGCACAGGTTTCCAAATGTGGCTCTATTAGGGAATGGGCCTGGTTGGAAAAGGATTGAGAGCAGGGGTCAGTTCTTCTGGGAACTGGGGCTGAGAGACCAGGTACAAGGCCCAAGTTTGTGGGCGCACTCACGGCTGCTGAGGGATCTAAGGTGGCAGCAGTGGTGGGGGTGGGGGTGGGGGTGGGTTTGCCAGTGCTGGAGCAGAGAGACACTGCAGGTTGGGGAAGAGGACAGGGTAGGGGCTGGTATGGCTGGGGCTCCAGCAGGGGATGAAGATACAGCGAGAAGGACAAAAAGGACAGTCAGTCAGCCACAAAGATCTTTTACTGACCAGCCAAGCATCTCTGTTTACTTCAATTTACTTCCACACCTATTAATTGAGTGCCTTCTATGTGCCAGGCACTGGGGATATAGAGGTGAAAAAGACAAGGGCCTTGCTCCCAGGGAGCCTGCATTCTGAGGGAGATGGAGGGGGACAATTACCAAGTAAACAAATTAGTGAGATAAAATGAGGCAGCAGTGGGTACTATGAGGAAAATACAGCAGGCTCTGTGATACAGAATGCTTGTGTGCCCAAGTGTGTGTGTGTGTGTCTGACTTTGGGCAAGGCCTCGAAAGAGGTGACATTTGAGCTGAGACCCAAATGACAAGAAGGAAGCAGCCCTGGGAGTCTGGGCAGGGAGCATTCCCTCAGTGGCAACAAAGGGCTCAACCTCCGGGAAGAGAAGGTAGCGGTCATGGGAGGAAGCTGGTGTGCGTGCTCCCTCAAGCTTCCTGGTGGGGGGAGCTCCTCTCCACTAAGCTTCCCTCTTCCTCGGAGAAACTCAGGGACAGACAGATGGACATCCAGAGGCAGAGGCAAAGCTACACATGGGTCCCATGTTACGCTCCCTCCCAGCTCCTCACCCCCTCCCTCCCTGAGCCCTGCTGCTAAGGAAGCCCCCATGCTCCCATTCAGAGGTTCTACTGCTGGGATAATGGGGACATGGAGACCAGATAAGAGTCGTCTTGGGGACATAAAGGCATATAAAGTACAACTGCATATTCCGTAAGGGACCAAGAAGACAGGGAGGGAAGGGAACTGTCATATTTCTGTTATTTTAGAGGCCCCTTTTCATTCTGGGATGACCTGGGTGTGTCTGTGCAGTCCTGGAGGGCTCTGCTTTCTGCTATATGGGAAGTGGGTGGGTGTGGGGGAATGAGGACCACTGCGAATATGGAGAAGGCAGATGGGCGAAGGGATGGGGCTGGGGTAAGGAAGACAGAGGAAAGGGAATAATGAAGAGGTTGGTAGAGGGGGGCAGGCGGCAGTAGGGAGCTTGGCTCATTCTAAATGGTCTCCCTCCCTCTCCTGTGCGCCCTCTGCCATACCTGTGTCCAACCTCCTGCTGGTGTTCACCACCCTCTCCATTCTGTGTTGCTCCTCGCCCTTACTGCCCCTCTGGATTGCCTTCTGCAATTTCCTTGTGGATGAGGTGGGGGGGTCCATGGGAGGAGAAGTCTCAGTGTTGCCCTGTCTGGCATTCCAGACATGGTGGTGTGGGCATTAGGGGTCAGTACAAATGTCCCAGGTGGCAGAAATCTTCACTGACTTGCGTGGGGAGTCCTGGAGCTGCCATTGCCCCATTCCTTCACATTCTATAGTGCTGGGGAGGTGGAAGAAATGAACATTTACACAGGTTTAGGAAAAGCCCAGGTGTGTCCCAGGCCTGGGGGAGGTGCCTGGGGGACAGAATAGGGAAGCTGGGTCCCTGTTGAGAGTCTCTCTCTCTCTGAGTCCTATGTGTTGTCTCCACCCACAGCCCTGTTCCTCCCATTTGTGGCCTCCATATATGGGGAGTCATAATGCAGATAGGACAGGGCACTGACCTTTCTTTGTGTTGGCCTTTCAATGGCCTCTGTGTCAGCATTATCCTGGCCTTTATTGCTGGTGGGCTGAGGGGTGGATGGAATCATGACCACAGGCAACAGGTGGATGAGAGGAGCCCCTTTGACCCCACAGCCTTCTCACTAGCTCTCTCCGCTCCCCTAGTCCTTCTGACCCCTGCAGCCCACTTCCTGATGTCCTCTCTAGAGCCCTTCAGCCTGGCTCTCTGTCCATCTCTGCAAGCGTCTCTCCCCACTCCTTCCTCACAGGACTCTCCTGCCTCTTCAGGTACATGGGTGTCGGCGAGTTCCTGTTCTCACGATTGGCCACTGGCCAGTTCGTCAGGCATGCACACCATTCTGGTGCAGGAGTGCGTCTCCTCCACCAGCTTGGTGAACCCACGAAGGCCGTCCCGAACCTCGCTCCCTGGCGCACCCCAGCCCAAACTATCGACTCTCCACCGTCCAGCCGCAGGCGAGAGCGCCTTGGGCTAGAATGAGAGGGGCAAAGCCCTAGCTCTCCAGGCGGTTTTGCTCCAACCCTGTCCGACGCTCCTCCCCTTGGGGCGTGGCCAGTACCCGCTTTGGCTCCGCGCTCTGTGATTGGTTCCACCCCCAGCCAGGGCCCAGACCCTCGCCTGGCTGTAAATAAATTCCAGCGTCTGAGCCCTCAGAGGTACTGAGCGTGGAGAGCTTCCTGCTGAGGGCTTTGGCACGTGCTTTGGACGAGGTCAGTCTCCGGGTTCTCAGAGCTCACCTCTCAAGCAAGGCAGCCAGTGGGTGACTCGCCCCTACTGAGGAATCCTTTAAGAAGTTGAGGCGTAGGCTCCTGGTTTGCAGTCGACCGCGCGTCGACACCTCCTCCCAGCGTTGCGGATCCTTCTCTACTGACCCCCTCCTCTTCCCCCGCCCCCACCCCCACCTACTCTGCTGTTGCCCTCGCCTTCCTGAGATCCCGGGCCGGCGTTTAGCTTTGGATCTGATTCTGACCGAACTGGATCACCTCCGTGCTCAGCTTCTGAGCGTCGGAGGGGTGGGTTTGGCTTTTTCCATTGGTCCCTACAAGCACCTCTGCTTTTGGGAAACTCAGCCTTGCCTTAATGCTTAAACTAACTGCCCATCATCCCAATCACTGACTTCTGAATTCTCATCACATTTCCCACCTGCCCCCGATTTTTCTCCCTTGCACTAGGCTGCTTACTCTCCTACCTTCAGCCCTCAGGAATCAACCTCCCTTCCACTGCCAAAGCCGTTTCCCACTTCTACCTTTGGAAATCTGAAGCTGCCCTCTGGAGGAAGGGGTTGGGGTTGAATCCAGGTTTTGTGGGGCCCTTTTTAAGAAAAAACAGAAAATATGAATTCAAAATTGGGTATGAAAGTGAGTTTTTATTTATAATGATAAGTAATAAATCACTTTGGAATGTTGTCAAATTTGGGAAAGCATCTATCAATTTTCACATATGATCTCTTACAGTTTCAAGTTTTCATATGCAGTTGCTAATTTTAAATGCTTTTTGTATTGACCATACTCATGAACCAGCTTTTTCACAGATTTCCTCATTCTAACGACATGAATTTTGTGCCAAATCAAGAAATGTAATTTTTCAATGCTTTTGTTTATATAACCTGCTCTTCATTGAATTATCAAATAATCCCAGAATATTTTCATTATTCCCTACATTGGATTACAGATTAATTTATGTAGGAGATTTACAAGTTTATGCTGGTAAACTTGTTTTTTTCTGGGTTGATTTTCTCTAATGTAGGCAATTTTGTGTCCATTTCTCTTGGAACTGCTGGACTTTGTTGGGACAAGATGCTTCACATATGCCCAAAAAACATTCTTATACGTGAAGTTTCACTCTACATAGATATACTTGCCATTTTGTAGGCCAGCTACAAATTTGTACCCTACAAACACGGGAATGCTGATAAATTCTAATTTATGTGATCACCATAAAAAAGCATATACTCCTTTTTAAATTATAGATGATACATTGTTGAAGATATTATTGACAGGTGAGAATGTCAATTTTAACTAGTGATCAATAAAAATGGAAGCCTCCCATTTCTAATTTTTCATGTCCACTGATTGAAAGAATTTCCTACAAATTGCTTCTAGCTGTGGTTATCTTGATTTTGTTTCTTCTCCATTATCCACATATTTCTTGTGCTGATCACCACTTCTTATCCTGTACTTTTATTTTACAGTAGTAGGGGATCATAGTGGGTGATCAGCAGAGTAGATGTTAGTATTCCTAGAAACCATTCTTGCACAAGACAATTAGCAATAGTTATATACAGAAGTGACTCAGACACATTATCATATTGTGTTGTATAAGTTACTATTTTTGTGTAATAAATTATTCCCAAGTTTAGCATCTTAAAGAAACAAACATTTGTTAGCCTACAGTTTCTGTGGTCAGTAATTCAGGTATGGCTTAGCTGGGTCTGCTGCTGCAGGGTCTTTCATGAGGATGCAATCAAGGTGTTGATCTCATCTGAAGACTCAGTTGAGGAAGAAACTACTTCCATACTTATTTGGCACTTGTTAGCTGCATTTAGTTCCTTGCCTGTTACTGAACTGAGGGCCTCAGTTCCTCAATAGCTATTGGTTGTTGGCCTCCCTCAGTTCCTTGCCATATGGGCCTCTCTCACATGGCAGCTTGCTTATCAGAGTGCAAACTGAGAAGGATATAGAAGGAGTTTGCTAGCAGGATGAAAGTCAGGATCATGTATAACCTAATCACATAAGTGATATCATATCACTTTAACCATTCATCAGGACCAAATCACTAAATCCAGCTTATTCAAAAAGGGATTACATAAGGAAATAAATATCAACATTTGGGAATCACTGGGGGCCAATTTAGAAGTCAGCCTACCCTATCCAATGTTGAAAAGAAAACCACAGACCTAAAGAGTCACTTACATTAATGGCCCTGTGCCAGTAAACCAAGACTTAATACTTAGACTGACTGAAGTTTCAGCACTCCCAGAAATATAACCTTTAACCAGTCAAACTGGAAATTTCTGGAGGTAATGCCTTCAGGAGACCCTTCCTCCTTAGGAGATCAGTCTTTTCTAAATGATGCATTCC